AGAGCCGAATGCGGCTCCGAAGCCACAGGCTACCGACCCCACAGGCTACCGACCCCTGCCATTATTCGGCGACGCTGCTAAACTAAACTGCTTCTCGTATTTTACCAGGCAAGGTCCACTGAGCTATAGAGTTCATTTTCAGAAGCCACCAGGCCATCACAAATGTGATCTCAACGAAGTGGCTTTTCATGACGTGGAAATGTTTCGCAGCCAAATACTCCAGTCGCGTGTTGATTCCAAATGTGGAGGGGAAATCGGAGGACCCGGAGAAGAATCCACACGAACACGCGGAGAGAGACACACAAACTCCAAATATACAGCAGGCATTGTCAGGGTCGGGATCGAAGCCACGACCTCCTGTGTACCAGGCGAGGGAGTTAACATCTCCTAGCCACCGTGATGATGATGAGAGACACGCAAACTCCAAATATACAGCAGCTGCAGGCATTGTCAGGGTCTGGATTGAAGCCACGACCTCCTGCATACCAGGCGAGGGAGTTAACATCTCCTAGCCACCGTGGCGACCATGCTGCCGCTGCGTTGGCAATGGTATCACAAACACGAATAACAACAACAGATTCTAAACACTTTCGTCAACAGCACGGTGTTCGTGTGTGTGTGTGGCCTTAAAGGCTTAAACGGATACAATGTACCTAAAGGCGACGTTTCGGGCCACGCCCCTCCTACATAGCACACCGCACTCATTGCTGTGCTGGGCCAGGTTGTGAAATGTGGCCTCGTTCTCACCCACGAGGGTTGCCACCTCTGAGGTTACAAAAATAACCACCCCCCACACTTAACGGGTAATAAAACGCGTCTCGCAATACTGGAAGAGAGCAGGACGACACGTCCATGCATTGTCTTGAGTGGTACATTACACTGTTGTTGTTATTACGGAACTGACAAAATAACAACCGGGAAGCTTCAATGTCCCGGGAAAACGTGGACCTTTATCAGGACAGCAGCGGCCGACAAACAAAAAGACGTCCTGGGGAAACCGGGAGAGGGTGGCACCCCCCCCCCCCCCCTTGCGGCCTAGCGATGTACTCGGGAAGGAGGCACCTTCTCTCTGGGCAGACATTTAGGCGAGTGCGGTGAAGGGGGAGGGGGGTTGCAAGTCGATTTTGTTTAACAAAGTTGCTGAGCACTCAAGAGACCGGAGATGGCCTGGGCCACGACAAAATATGACAGCAAAAGAAAGGAAAATAGAGCAGAATAAGCCAGTAAGGGAGTAGCAGGTCAACGCCATGCATACATGGAGTGACGGGCACTTTGCTTGTTAATTATTTTAGAGTTTCATATTCTTGGTTCTTTCGGTAAAGTCACGTAGAAGAGAAATAATAAAACAATAAATGTATCACGACGTTTCAATTGCAACACAAGCAATCGTCATCAGGTGTGAAAACCACAGCAAGAAAATTGTATTGCTGTGGTTTTCACAGAAAATGTTCTTGCTGTGGGTTTCACACCTGATGATGATTGCTTGTGTTGCAATCGAAACGTCGTGGGAATTTAATTGTTTATTTTTATTATTTCCCTTCTACGTGACTTTACCGAAAGAACCAAGAAGATGAATCCCTGCAGTCACGAAAGCTTTAAATCGATATTTTATAGTTCTCTCCACGAAGATGCACATTTTATTTGTATTAATCCCAGCTAGGCGCCAGGTTATTCTGCGTCGAACTTGGGACCCCTAAGGTCAAGGGAGGCAGGATCCTTGCCTGCAGGATCGGCAGCTCGCCGGCATTGATTGAGGCAAGCCACATAACTGCTGATGAGACCCTAAATGTCAAAGCCGGTCCAGAGTTTGCGTGCATCTTGAATCAACGCCGCTGAAATGACGCACTCCCAGAAGGCCCGATGGTCTGTTCTGAGAGAGATGCTGTAACATGTGTACTGTTTAACACGGAGGCTTTCGCGACCAATATTATTCATAATAAAATTTTTCTGGGTTAAAAGAATGTGTCACTTTTACAAAGGACAAATAGTTCACTACTTTAGCCCACCGGTGTGTTGAAGAGCGAATCAATATCATTTAAAATTTGAGTACGACGTTTCGCTGGTAATTGCATCCAACTTCATCGGGCAATTTCCCACAATGGTGAGGCTCTCGGTATTAAATAGAACAGCAGCAGCAGCAGGGTGTGTGGAGAGACGGGTATGTGAAGGAGACGTATTGCCTGTTTGTGTATTTTGTTGGTGGTGATTAACTGTGAGCAGCCCAGAGCATCGCTGTCAACCCCTTATCAGTGCCCTGCCCTTATTACAGACCAACTCAGACTTTATTTGGTCACCTCGTGCCCTTATAAATATCGGCGTTCATCCTACAAAGTCACATCACAAGGGAGAAACACAAAGTAATAAACATTTTTGTCTGCCCGTTTTTTAAACGGCTGTACGCCGTATTAGGATCTGACAATTCAATTCCCCTGTACAGGAATAGGGGGTTAAACCGTATGGGTTGTTGAGGGGCCGTCCATAAATGACGTCACGCGATTTGGGACGATTTTTTACCCCCCCCCCCCTTCGTCACACGGCGTCACAAAAAGTCAGACCCCCCCCCCCTCAAATATGACGTCACAAAGTTCTGCCCCCCCCCCCCAAAATAAAACATGCTTCAAATCGCTTTAAACTATTGTCTTTGTAGTGCGTATCTAATGTGGCGCTGCACTCTGATGTTGTAGGAGAAAACATTTATTTAAAAAAGTCTATATAATTAAGTAGAACGTGTTGTCTATATTTATTTAAAGTTGCGCATTTTGATGTGACGTCACATTTCTCAAACCCCCCCCCCTCGTCACACATCGTCACAAATGTCTGACCCCCCCCCCCCAGGCACGTGACGTCTGCGGGGCCCGCAGCACGATGTTGGTATAAAGGGGCCCTAAATAAAACAAAACACGTAAATATTAAAACAAACACATTCTTAACTTGCACAGTAAAGTAATTGTATTTGTTCATTTGCTATACAGCCAGATAATACGAATCGCTAACCTTAAACACCCAGTCGTTCATAAAAGTTGAAGGCGGTATAGTACTATAGTAATAGAGCAAGTGCAGAATCACCGAACCGGATTTGGTTGCTTGAAAGCATTTAGCGCGGGGCCCTCGAAAGTGCTGGGCCCGTAACACGTGTAGCAGCTACTACACGTGCAGCAGCTACTACACGTGTAGCAGCTACAACACGTGCAGCAGCTACTACACGTGCAGCAGCTACAACACGTGCAGCAGCTACTACACGTGCAGCAGCTACTACACGTGCAGCAGCTACTACACGTGCAGCAGCTACAACACGTGTAGCAGCTACAACACGTGCAGCAGCTACTACACGTGCAGCAGCTACTACACGTGCAGCAGCTACTACACGGACTGTTGGGGCAAGTGCCGAGCACCGATGGAGGCCGGCACGGCACACGAGGGGGTTGGTGGCCAACACCACGCCCGGCCGCCTTTGTCGTCGTAGTAGCGACGTTTACACACAACACCAGGTACTCATTCGAGGTTGAGTCGACCTAGGGGAGGCCCATGACCGGTTCAGATAATCGTCACTGGTGTTGGCCGTGAGCGGGAAACGAACTCGGGCCGCCGGGGTGCGGAGCGCAGTGCGCTAACCCCTGCGCCACCGCTCCCCACAGGCCACTCACTCTCACACGCGTGCTTACCGATCTTCCGATGGCTGTTGGGTTTATGCGAAGCGAGTGTAACATTGAAGTGGTACAGCCCCAGCGCTGTTGTTGCATTGCGAGAGTGAAAGATTACCGTAGTTTAAGAATTGGGCAAAAATAACCTCGATATTTCAAGAGCTGCAATGCACTGTGGTGGTGAATACGAAACGGCGGTCCTGAATAAGTATAGGTCACGAAGCGGCTCTTAAAGAGGCGCAGGTTGTCGACCCTGCCCATGGTAAACTGGACTCCCATGGTAAACTGGAATTCCATGGTAAACTGGACTCCCATGGTGAACTGGACTTCCATGGTGAACTGGACTCCCATGGTAAACTGGAATTCCATGGCGAATTGGACTCCCATGGCGAACTGGACTCCCATGGTGAACTGGACTCCAATGGTAAACTGGACTTCCATGGTGAACTGGACTCCCATGGTAAACTGGAATTCCATGGCGAATTGGACTCCCATGGTGAACTGGACTCCCATGGTGAACTGGACTCCCATGGTAAACTGGAATTCCATGGTAAACTGGACTCCCATGCTCATGATTCGGCAACTGAAACAAGAGTTATTTTTTTCGAATTTCAAGAGCCGCACTGCAGCCCTGAAAGAGCCACCACACGTGGCCCCAGAGCCTCAGGCAGCCGACCCCCGCTCTCGTTCATGACTAACACAAGCATCATTCACATTTACCGGCGACTCGCTGAACTCGTGGGTCCTTTAACTGCCAAAATGTTAACACGGATCATTGTAACACGAAGTAGGCGTTTGCGACCAATATGATCCATAATAGATGTGTTTGGGTTAGATCACATGAATATAAATGTGTCGTTGAAGCCGCCGCCACCCGACACAGCCAATCAGATCTGGTTGTCACGTAAACCCAACATGCCAATTCGTTACTAGTTCAGAGTAAACCCACGACATTTCCCATTCGAGTACGACGTTTCGCCAGTAATTACGACATTTATATTTACGCGATCCAACCCAAAAACCTCTATTATGGACAGATCATTATTTCTAACACGAATTGCCAAAGTGAAACGATTTCTCAAAGGTTTTCATTATCATCTTCTTGGTTCTTTCGGTAAAGTCACGTATAAGGGAAATAATAAAATAATTAAAATAAAACATAATAAAATACAATTCTCACGACGTTTCGGCCACAACGCAAGCAGCCGTCCTCAGGACTGTATTTTATTGTTTGATTTTAATTATTTTATTATTTCCCTTCTACGTGACTTTACCGAAAGAACCAAGAAGATGAATCCCTGCAGTCGCGAAAGCTTTAAATCGAAATTTTCATTATCAGTTACAACGTTTTTGATGAATTAACGCGATTCAGTAAAATGTAAAAAAAGACAAAAACATCTATTTTGCAACAGCAAGGCATGTTTATTACTCCTGTTCAGTCTCAGAATCGGCAGACGCCTTTCAAAAAACCGTACTGCCTAGAGCAGGGCCTCTTAACCTGGGGGTGCGAGATTGCCCTTTTTGGGGGTGCCAGACACGGCCAAATCTTTTTTTGAGAAGATAGATAATTTGAAACAGAAATAAAGCACGGGCACGCAAGCACAACTACTTTGTTTCATCAAACCCCATGTAATTATTAACATCGTACATTTTAAAGATTGAGAACCAAATGTGTGTAAGGCTGTAGTAAAGGCGAAGAACCACTGGCCTAGACCGTTGTCCTTTTAAAAGTTTATTGTAACGTATCGATGCAATTATCACCGCTCAACAGAGCATTCAATCGGTTTTTTTTCCGCCCCCGTTACAAAAACCAAAGGACATCGTTTCAAGATTAATTAAAACGTTCTGAAAACTGAACTACATTTCAATAATGTAATGCCGCTATTTGGTAAAAGCATAAAGTGAAGATTCAACCGTTGCAAATTTCATTATAACAACAAAAAACTCACGAAATTCCCAAAGTCAAATCATTCATTGCACGCGTCTTAAATTCAGGCACATTTCATATTTTCTTTTTTTACAAAAAAAGTGTAAAATAATGCACTTACGTCCTCGCTCGAGCAATCGTAAATCTTGCCGCCGCTTAACGCGTCTGACAAACGTCCAGAAACAGCGGACGGAGGTGCAAGCGAACTGCGGCACGCGATGGAAAAGTGGCACCTCTCATACCGTCACCTCCACATGCTCACCCCCCACCACCACCAACAATACAGTAGAGGAAATGCCACGAGCCTGGCTCCAGTCCAAGACAAGGCCGCTTGTGCTAATCAGACGCGCGCAGCTGACAAATCGTAGCCGCAAACGATTCCACTCCGTCGATCACGAACCGCGGCGAGCTAAAAAAAATCCCTTACTCGGCCATCTCGAGCGGCAGCGGTCCCCCAAGGTGGTGAACGCACGCACCTGAAAGCGCTCCGATTACTCACGCAGGAGGACTTAAATTGTGAACAAAAATTTGACGGCCACCGCAAGATGCCCTCTTTGCAATCCGGTGGGATGGCAGCGCGCAACGTGGTGGCATCGACGGCGACATTTCATCGCAGTCGTTTTTGCATCCCCCTCATGAGGCAGAGGCCCGATCCGTTCCTCCTGACGTGGTTGCCTGGCTTGACCACCCTGACTGTGAAATTGTAGTTGTTGTTGGTCTGCATCGACACCATCAGCCGTACGACAAGAAGAAGATGATGCAGCAGCAGAGGCCGCCATTGCAATAAAATATATAATCCGTTATTCTGGAGTTTGGATACGGACAAGGGTAAACAACTTGGAATGCCGCGGGGAAGCTTCAGAAAACAAACATTGTAGACGTTCTTAAGAAGAGGAGTCGGTTGCAATGAGTAAGATGTGCGCAGGATGGAGGAGGAGGATGGGGTGACAGGATACCACGACGGGCATTGGAGTGACACTTGGCGTTCAGACGCCAGACGGTGCGACAATTGCCAAAGGCAGACCTCGGCTCCAGCTCAACTTTTAAACAGCAGAAGAAGGTAGAAGGTGTAGAGCGTTGTCATGGCCATGATGACTTGCTGTATTTGCTTGCTGTACTGCCACGTCATGGCCAAATCGTGGCCCAGCTTGTCGGGGAGTGTCGCAGATCTGTACGCGATCAGCACGCGATTCGTCAGCGGTTGCCTCCAGAGTTCGTAACCGCAGGCCTGTCCTGCGCACTGCCACGCCACCACACCACCACCACGCCACCGAACCCAACCGCACAACCACGCCACCGCCGCGCCACTGCCAACGCCACCGCGTGCATGGCGGCATGTCACGGCGTGTCTGGTGACACCGCCGTGTGGGTTGTTCAGGGACTGAAACGATCGTGATCCGAGTTGTGCGACTACAGTTGCGCGCGAGAGTTTGCTGGGAAGCTCCCCGCGTGACAATTGCACACAAGCACCTTGCAGCACGCTTTCCCCACCAGCGGTGGAACTCTCCACGGCTCTGTTGATATCTTCTAAGTCCCGACTAAAAACGCATCACACCATTTTATAAAAAAAATAAGTTTTGCTGGCTGGCTGGCTGGGACGGACGAGCTAATCGGCTGTGTTCCTTTGGCTCCTATTCCGCTGCCCAGTTCCTTGTCTTTGTCCTTTCCATGCACGGCGCCTTGAGACTTTCTTGTGAAAGGCTTCAAATAAATGCAAATTTCTCCCATTGTTGTTTCCCTATCGCTGTCGGGCACGGCGGCTGTGACATGCTAAGTGCTCATTTGAAATTTTTGGTCAGCTGGGATTTGACCAAATTAAGTGCAAAATTGGTCTTAATGTAATGGGTTAATTGTGTGCCGTCATGGGTTGTCTGGGCTCCGTTTAATCACGGGCAGCTGCTTCAATTTGAAATCAAGGTCTCAGCATTGCCGGCCCAAAAAAAAAAGTATAAACGGATTTGTGACAAGCAGCAGTAATCTGATTCATCATCATCATCATCACCACGATCAATGGGCAGCTAGCCCATAGGTATCCACTGCACATTTGTTTGCACTTTCCTCTGTCCGATTAAGACAATAACTGATTACGCAATAACTGCGAAGCATCCCTTAGGCGATGACGAGTACCTGCCGTTGTTTGTACAGGACTCCTCTGCTTACGAACTTTCAGAGATACGCACAAACCTGTCCGTATGTCCAGTTGCCTGTTCGGACCGAGAATCGTAGGCTCAACCGCCGCGCAATACATCGCGGTGGTGGCATCTACATCTGCAGAACGTGAAGAATCAGTGGCATCTACATCTGCAGAACGTGAAGAATCAGTGGCATCTACATCTGCAGAACATGAAGAACCAGTGGCATCTACATCTACAGAACGTGAAGAATCAGTGGCATCTACATCTGCAGAACATGAAGAACCAGTGGCATCTACATCTGCAGAACGTGAAGAACCAGTGGCATCTACATCTGCAAAACGTGAAGAACCGGTGGCATCTACATCTGTTAGAACATGAAGAACCGGTGGCATCTACATCTGCAGAACGTGAAGAACCCATGGCATCTACATCTAGAGAACATGAAGAACCAGTGGCATCTACATCTGTTAGAACATGAAGAACCGGTGGCATCTACATCTGTTAGAACATGAAGAACCGGTGGCATCTACATCTGCAGAACATGAAGAACCAGTGGCATATACATCTACAGAACATGAAGAACCAATGGCATCTACATCTGCAGAACGTGAAGAACCCGTGGCATCTACATCTGCAAAACGTGAAGAACCAGAGGCATCTACATCTGCAGAACGTGAAGAACCAGTGGCATCTACATCTACAGGAGATTATACAACTTTCCCCGTGTTGAGTGTACACGCCGTACAACAAGTTTGGAATCGACAGGAGTAAAGTCGGACTTACGAACAAATCGACTTACAAACAGAACTCTGGAACCTAACTCGTTCGTAAGTAGAGGAGTCCCTGTAATCTGATTTCAGTCGCTGTGTCAACTCCCCAGCACCGCCTGTGACCACCACGTCAACGTTGGCAAGCACAGGACACGGGCTCGTCCGTCACGTTCGGCACCACTTCCTGTTTTACCTGAAGTTAAATCGTCGTCGTCATCGTCGTCATCCATAACCGTGTCATCGCCGAGGCACGTTCCACCTCATCGACAGACTGCGATGGCACTGAACTGCTTTGGGAAGGCGGGCACGGTGTGAGAGAGTCCATGGGCGCCACTGGCAGGGCCGAGGTCGCACTCCAAACTCCCACCAGCCTACAGCCAGGATCGCCGCAGAAATTGTGCTTACGTAGTCTAAACATGTTGGCGAAAACACAGAGTGGCTCTAGTCTGCACGCTGGTGTCCCTGTAGACTGCGGCGTCTGTCATTGCAGGCTACACGCTGGTGTCACTGCGGACTCTGGGGCTGCAGGCTACACGCTGGTGTCTCACCGTAGACCTTTAATCTACACACTGGGATTGCTGCAGCCCACAACGCTCCATACCCCGCACGCTCATCGATCAATAACCAGTACACTGCACGTTCATTAAAACGATTCCCTACGATCGTTCGGTGGGGCAGTGCCGAGGGGCCGAACAAACAACGGACGGCGCGCGAGGCGTGCACCCCGGGGGGGGGGGGGGGGCGACGGCGTCGACCTCCCGGGGGCCCCGCCACCTCAGGCCCACGGACCCCACGCCCCCGTGGGCCCGGGGTCGCATCGGGGGTCGTCGGGCGGGTAGCTGATGGGCACCGAGCTCTCATCGTAGCGCTGCAGGCGGAGCAGCAGCTCCCGCACCACGTCGGGAAAGCGGTCCGAGAGGTCGGCCCTCTCCTCCGGGTCGGCCACGACGTCGAAGAGCCGCACGCGTCTCGCGGGAGCGTCGTCGCGAGCGAGCGCCGGCGGTGGCTCCTCGGCTCCCGCGGCGTGTGGCGGAGGGAACCATTGACCGCATCCTGGAAACGGGAGGCCACGGTTGAAATACGCCACGGTGTTCTGCGAAGGTGTCACCGAACCGACGTGGGGGCAGCCCTTGTGGTTTCCCCCCCCAAAAATGCAATATGTGTGTCGTGTGATTAGAATGAGCTCGTCCCGTGACCACGGATGGCTATCCGTGGTGAAAACAGAAACGTGTTTACACTTTCCGGCAATAATACAGGAGGTGTTAAGACACCCATCATCACAAGGCATCAGGTCTGCATCAGCCACACATGCTTGTGGTAAAACATGGAAACAATATGCCTTCATAATGTACATGCACTCTCCTTGAAACTGATTGGCCTACGCCAGAGACAGCCTCCTTCATGGACTAGTCTCACCATCAGTGTTAGACCAGAGAACGCCAAAAGGTGAACAGCACAATGGCAATGCAAATATAAAAGCTTTACGATCTTGGGTTCAGCAGTTATAGCTATGGGACCATTTTTGCTGGTTTCATCATTTTTGTTTCCAGCAAAAAGGGTCCCGTGGCGATCCGTGGCATAAAATCTGCCACTTTGAGGAAAGTCATCAGCGGTCCAGCAACGGACAGAAACTAGCCTTTGATTAGAAATTTCCGACACTGGCTCAGGAACGAGCAGCAGAGGTGAGCGCCACCCAATGCTTCTTTTGCCAAGAAAGAAAGAGAGAGAAAAAGAGGAAGAAATGCTACTCGGATTAAATGTCGCAAAGTTCGGAAGTTACTCACCAACAACTATGGCCCTTGGCTATGTCTGATTGGAGACAGAGGTCTGAGGGATGACGGTGTATCTGGGTGTGGTCGGGCATGCCTGTGACCCTGCATTTTGGGGGCGAGGGTTGGTGGACCGTGTCGAGATTTATAAAAACCTGCTTGCAAGGTGGTAGGAGATAAAAAAAATGGAATTTGGCCAAACATCCCATTGCAGAAACCTCCTGGAAATAGTCCCGAGACACAGAGAAGGCTTTCCTAGATAAACAAATGGAATTATCATCATCATCATCATCTACGATGTTACCTGGGTCTCCGGTGAGAAGCTTCCAGTTTTTATGCCTCAACGCCGCATGTATGGAGATGTTGAAGGTAGAATTGTTCCATCGAAATGGAAATCTCTCGTTCCGTTCCGCTTTGCCCACAACAGCACCTGGAAAATAAAAAAAAACCCAAAGTGAAACCGGACCCACGGAGACCCGCGGTGTCAAGGTGATCACACTGGACCTGCGAAGCCAGAGGTCGCCGCCAGTTCCTCTGCTGGCGCAGAAGTTTATTTAGCGAATGCTTTTACACACAACTGTCATCCAGTTAAGAGCGCAGGATACGCAAGCAAAATAAATGCATTTGTTTGTCGACGTTTTACATGCATATATGTGAGCGAGTGGACGTCAGCCCCACGTAGCCACAGAGCCATGTGGCAGCCTCCTCCTCCTCCAGCAAGTGCAGGGCAACAACAACGACAACAACCACCAGTACCGCCCGGCACGGCCCTGACGCACTTCACAGCCGGAGACGATGTGCGGCCACGGTCTCCTGGCTCCCCGCAGTCGCAACAATAGGAAACGTTCCCCAATGCCCCCTTCCTCCTCTCCCCCCCCGCCCCCCACCACCTGCCTCCGTCCTCCCCAGAAGAGTGAATGTGCACTCCCGCAGTCAGTCCAGCGGCAGGTCGCGTGTGGTGGGGCACAGTGTGGGTTCACTGCCGCCTCTTTAAAGGTGCCTGGTTGGGCGTGGAAGTGTGGGCCACAATACCCTGGTGGAGGTACGCTATAAATATTTTAGTGGAAGCCCCTTTTTTCTCGCCAGCGGTGGCATGAGCGAGCAGTTGCAGAGCTGCGCCTTTACATCTGGGCCACAGCAGTAATTGGTACCACCTTCAGGTGATAAAAGCTTTATCCGCACACCCGATGTGTTCACGTGCCTGTAAGAGTGAACAATTTTGATAACCCCCGTCAGTCCACTGCCAGATGAGGGCCTCCCCGCGCCGTGGGAGAATGTTCCGGGTTTAGTTTTAACCACACACTTAGTCGCGATGGTGAGCGTGAGGGCCAAGAAGGCGAGGGAGGCGTAGGCGTAGTGGCCTACACAGCATGATGGTTGCTCATGTGAAGCACTATCCAGCCTCAAAAGCATGCTGAGCTTCTGAGATCAGACGAGATCAACCGACCCGGGCGAGACCAAAAATATAAACAGATTTAAAGTCAACTTGGTGATATAGAACGAGAAATCAGCCCCACTACCTCCACGCTCGAATGGGCACTGGGCGGTGCTCATCACCGCTGGTGATAACGCACCAGCGGTGAAAAAAATCCTCATTCCTATGGCGGGGGCGAGTCTATCCATAGGACAACCGCTGTACACTTCCCACGGAGTTCGAACTTATTCGAGCAACCCGGAGGTGATGGGTTGGCTGGGTCAATCGCGGACGAAAGGTGTTGAACTTGTGACCTTCCAATCGTGAGTTTGCATGCTCCGATTAACAGAGCCAAGTGGCCGCAAGGTTGAGGGGAAACGTTCACAACCAGACGTGGGCAATTCCACAATTTTCGGACGCACATTTCAGAGCCACTTTTACAGAAGTGTGGGGGGTGACCGTGAGAAGCGGCCACGCGCCGGCTGGGCACACAGTGCGCCAATCGACAAAGGAGTACAATTCAGACGAGAAATCATTGTTTGCCATTCTGGGCAATGCCACTGCGCTGGGATTGCCACACTTCATTACGTGTCATGTGTCAAGCACCATCTCTAGAAGTGTAGACAATCACCTTCAAACTTGCAGCCTGAACGTAGTTGTACTATTATTAATGGTTAAACACGTAAGAGGCTTTCGCGACAAATATCATCCATAATATTGTTTTTTTGGGTTAGATCGCATAAATATAAATTTGTCGTTAAACACGCCACCAGGAGGATTTCTCCACAAATCTGGCTGTCGCCTGATGATGCTGGTTGTAATTACTGGCGAAATTGTAAATTTGTGGGTTTACTCTCCAACACACCGGTGTGCTGTACTAGTAACGAATTGGCACGTTCTGTTTATGTGACAAACCTTACTAGTTGGCTGTGTCGGGTGGTGGCGGGTTTAACGACACTTTTATATGGCATAAGTCTCTTTCATGTGTACCCCTTCCCCTTGACTTAAAGCTTTCGTAACTGCAGGAATTCATATTCTTTGGGTCTTTGGGTAAAGTCACGTAGATAGGTTCAAAGCAAATAACAAAAAATAACAAAAAACTACGACGTTTCGATCGCAACACAAGCGGTTGAAACGTCGTAGTTTTTTGTTATTTTTTGTTGTTTTCTTGGAACCTATCTACGTGACTTTACTGAAAGACCCGAAGAATACACGTACCCCATTCATATTTTTCCCCCCGCATACCGTATTCATGGCGATTATGTTTATACATGAAGTGTAAACTATTTTAATATGATAAACTAATAATCATACAGATAGTAGATGTCAATTTCATACACTTACTTTTCACACTGATGGTTGTGCGGTGTCGACGCACAATGGGTGAACGAGTATCCTCTGGTCAGGCACTGTGCCACGTTACGATCCGCCTTCCCATCTCTTTAAAGAGGTGAGTTTTCAAGATGGACGTCAATGCATCGAATGGCTCAAATTGTCTTATTTGCAAAGTGTCCCATAGTCTGGGAGTTGCACTGGCAAAAAGCCTCGAGCACCCCCAGGAGACCTAGCAGTACTTAGAAGCAGAGGCCGGAGTGACCTATTTCAATGGGGGGAGGGGGGGGGCTATGAAAGATCCGACTGTGGGCCCCGCCTCCTTTCTCCCGACTCAAATTTACCGAAATAGCTACGGATGGTTTTTAATGCCATATATACAATAATGTTGGGCTATAACTACTTTATATTATTTTAGTTGCACCGTGTATTGGGTTTAGAGGAAGACAGTCTTACAGTGACAGTATTAATAAAACAGATGTCAAGTTACTCACAATGAAGTTATCGTACGTCTTGCTTTCACGCCGGCACATTGGTCACTCTCGGGTGTCCTCAAAGGGGGGGGGGGGTGGATCGCGAACTTCATGCTGCTCTGTCGACACGATAGCCAGACGTGGTAATCGTCGCAGCAAATTTGAATTCTTATTTTTAAATAATTTTTCTTAACATTGTTTGTATTTGTGTTTATCTGTTGATTCGGGGCCCCCTTGTGGCTGACTGGGCCCCGATGCATCGCACAGCGCCACCCCCAATCTCAGGGACCTCGTCAGGAGTGTACGTCAGTTGCCCTTCGCCCAGACATCGGATCAGCACGGTTGGCTACGTACGGTGCGGAAGAAGTTCAACGTGCATACATACAACACCCATACATGAAGTGTCAAGATAAGTAGAAGTCTTCAGTGAGACTTACACGGCAGATTGTCTTCAAACATCGGGTCGATGTTGTGAAGAATTTCTACCCGCGGCGAAGGGTGTCCGTCACTGCAACAAGAAACGCGCCGAGTGAGCCGGGCGGCGGTGGCAACCCCGCGCGGCGCTCCGCAGCCGCACGCGGCGCTCTGCAACCCCAGCGAGGGTTCGGTGGATCGCTGCAGCGATGTTTCGGAACGCCCCAACCGTTGGACGTCGAGGAGGATCCATCCACCCCTGGAGAACGTGGTACGGTAAATATGGACTCCACCCGTTCCATCTGTATGACTTTATGACTTTTATCCGGGTGCTCCGGTGTCCTAATTAGTTGGCCGTTAACACCTTAATATATAGAAGATCGCAGAGCTCGGGGGGGGGGGGGGAGGGCTCACTGCATGGCTTCTGCTATCTTCACGCTCGTCCGTGGTTCCTCCTCGTGCCTCTGAGTCTCTCTCTCGTCGAGAGCAAGCGAACACCGTGTGACGGCGGTGCGGTACAAGTTTATTATTATTTAAAAACGAAACTATTTTTTTACTTTACCAGGTAAGGGCCCACTGAGCTGTATCGCTCTTTTCAGAAGCGATCTGGCTATCACAAACAATAGCTCAACTAAGTGGCTTACCACGTAGAAATGTATAGCAGTACGCCAAATACTCTAAATGCGTAACGTTGATTCTAAATGTGGAGGGGGAAAAATGGTGGACCTGGAGAAAAATCCACGCGACCACGAGGAGAGAGACACGCAAACTCCAAATATACAGCAGCAGGCGTCTGGGTTGGGATCGACCCCACGACCTCCTGTATACCAGGCGAGGTAGTTAACATCTCCTAGCCACCATGGTGAGATGTTAATTGGCATACAAATCACAGACAAGCAGGAAGGCAGCCACAACCCGCACCAAGATCTGCGGTCCCGTATTAGTATGTTTGGCCAATTCAATTAATGAGTGATTGTACTCTTTGGTTATTTCGGTAAAGTTACCTATGTGACTTTATTTTATTTTAATACCTATGTGACTTTACCGAAAGAACCAAAGAGTATGGATTCCTGCAGTCACGAAAGCTTCAAATTAAGATGAATTAGTGTTTATACACGTGGGAGGAAACTGGAGAACCCGGAGAAAACCCATTCGGGGGTGGGGGGGGGGGGCAACTCTATTCCCGCACAGATGGAAACAGATGGCGATTAGTCCACTTGCTGTACTGCCTTCTCCTGGTAAGCCAGGGCATGGCACACCTCCTCGAAAACCCACAGGAAAGGAGTTTCACAACATTTCTCCGGTGATCCACCAACCCTCCACAGTTTTGGATCACAGGCAGCTGCATGCAGCAGCCACCGCTCGCGTGCGCCACATTATTAGAATTTCCATCGCCCAGTTAGTTATGATCATCTGTGACGTAATAAACTCCGCGAATGTCGCGTCACCGGCATTCATCAGCACGTTTTATCGAACGAACGCTCAGCAACCTACATCCAACAGACAAAGCATTGTCGAAAAAACGTGCTCCAGGAAAACCTACGCGGGGTGGACTTGGCACCTTATAGATTTCCAGACGTCGAATCCGTCCAGGGGCTTCGTCCCCGCGGTCGATCCCCCGGCGAGGTTCACGAGCGTGGGCAGCCAGTCGGAGATGTGGACGAGCTCGTCGCACACCGCCCCCCTGCCGCGCCTCGCCAGCAGCGGGCTCGCGACGAACCCCACGCCGCGGACGCCACCCTCCCACAGGGTGCCCTTGCGGCCACGCAGCGGCCAGTTGTTGCCTCCCGCCAACGTCTGCCCTCCGTTGTCTATTGAGCGGGCCATGTGGGGGGGGGGGGGGGGTACAAACGGGAGGCGCGCACCATTAACAGACAAAGATCCCCCGTGTACCCTTAACAGACTGTTGGGGCAAGTGCTGTTAGCGAACACTTGTTGAAGGCCGGCACGGCACACGAGGGGGTGGGTGGCCAACACAACGCTCGGCCGCCTTTGTCTCCCCAGCGGTAATGATTTTACACATCGCAACAGGTACTCAGTTGAGGGTGAGTCGACCTAGGGAAGGCCCAGCACCGGTGCAGATAATCGCCGCGGGTTATTGGCCGTGAGCAAGAATCGAACTCGGGTCGCCGGGTTCGTAGCGGATCGCGCTAACCGCTACACCAGTTTCCATCAACACCACGTATCACACACGATGGTACGAGTTAACGCGTAGGCCGATTTGCGGTGATTCGGCACGAAGCAAAGTTGTTTATGGGCACGAATGTGGATAAATATGGGGGTACAGATATTGACAAAGACATCCTTGATATACAGGCAGTCCCCGGGTTACGGAAGGGTTAGGATTCCCATAAACAATCCGTGACCCAAATTTTCCGTATGTCGGAAACTGAACAATTTTCTCCAAAAACCAAGAAAAATCCCATAGCTGGAAATAATTGTGCCTCCCCGACTACCCGATTACCAGTTCGTTTTCTCTCAGTTCTGTACCGCGCTGTACTCCGTTGTATATCGCTACCTATACTGCATCGTATCGCTGTACGTACGCTCTGCACTTCCTACGATTCTTTCATTTCATCGAATATCTCCCCGAACACTACCCATTATTAAACTAAGTGAACATCTCCTGCATCCAGAAAACAAACAATTACGTCATGCTGCAAAAGGAAAAAAATTACGTAACACTACAAAAAAATTCCATTTACCGAAATCCTGGCGAAGCTCGGGCTTGGTGAAGGCGGCGTTTTGGTGGAGAGAGGCGTAAGGCGGGTCGGCTTACGCCTCGCTCTGCGGTATTCACACGCAACCTCACCGCGGCGCTGCACTACTTACGCTTAAGTAACTGACGCAACAAAAATCCGCATATCGCATTTTTTTTTTGCAACATGATTTATGGGCACATTTCCGTAAAGTCGCATTTCCGTAAGTCGGGTGTTTCCGCAACCCGGGGACTGTCTGTATAAGAAGTGCGGTACAACCATAGCAGGACAACAATGGCTGCACTACCCTCTGCTGCCCACCACGTAGGCCCACAGCCGATCGCACCCGTTTATGTGTGGCGGACACCCACCCGCTATCCGTGCGCATCCCGTGTGATCTCACCGTATGCTCTCCGTGTTTCAATCGCTACGTCGTATCCACGTCGCGTTACGGAGACAAACAAAAACCTCTCACGGCGAGCAGCGCTTCACGTCAGGGAACGGCTCCTGGGAGGTGACGTCACTTGAACCACTCCGGCAGTCACGTGACGGCCTCTCACTGCACAAGCCACCACCGCCCGGCCACGTGGCGGCTTACAGGTAGTCCCCAAGTTACGATGGTCCGACTTACGATATTTCGATCTTATGATGGCGATACAACAAAATTGCCATCAACAACCTAACATCGTTCAAGTGTGCAGACGACGGACAGAATCTTGGTGAGTACAGTACAATATGATGCGTTGCGATACGTTCAATGCATGTGTGATACGTAGCTTTAGCGATTTCATTTTAGGGTTACCACGATACGATACGTTCAATGCATGTTAAAAGTATCTGTAGCAGATAGGATTGTTTCCTGAAAAAACTTTCGATTAAATTGCAGTTCATATAGGTAGGCTAAGAATTTACCTTGTTTTTTTTACCTTACATTTTGCTGTGCAATACAGTATTGTAATTAATAAATACATACAGTATATAGTTTATACAGTACAGTACTGTAAATTGCTCTGTTTTGCTAAATTATCACCATTCTTTAAGACTCCTGGGTAGGCGAGGCCATCTTCGACTTAGGATGGGGTCGTCGTAACGCATCTCCATCGTAAATAGAGGACTGCCTGCAGTTTGTGTAGTCGTCGGTCACCCTCGCTGCGGCGGCTTTTGGCTGCTGCCATCGAACAAAAACGGCCACTGCATGGCGCGCTTTCAGGTGCGCTTCTGCGGCCGTCTGGAACGATCCTCCTTCCGATACGAGGAAGCCACTGGAGCTGTGTACTTTTAAATATAGATTGAAAGCTAATTTCTTAAGAACCTCTTTTTGTGAATCCACAACATTTACAGTGTTTACAATTGTAAATGTTTTGAGTTTACTCACCAGCACACCGGTGTGCTGAACTAGTAACTAATTGACATGTTTTGTTACTTACTAAGTGGCTGTGTCGGGCAGTGGCGGGTCTAACGACACATTTATATTTACGTGATCTTAGCCCAAAAAAAAACTTCTATCATGGATAATATTGGGTCGCGAAAGCCCTACTACTACTACTGCGTGTTAAACTGATATTGCTTGTTGTTGTTTTCAAATGACGGCAACGCGAAGCCACGGGCAGGAATCAACAAAAACTCAAACGCCATTCTGGAGAGGCGACAATCCACCACGACCTGAAACGCCACCACCTCACCCGTGGAGAAGACGAGCACGGTGTTATTCCAGAGGCCGAACTTCCGCAGGGCCTCGGTAATGTTCCCCACGGCCTCGTCCATCATGGAGACCATGCCGGCGTACTTCCGCCTCTTGGCATCTCGGATGAACGCGTAGGGCTCCAGGTACTTCTGCGGGACTTGCAGGGGCTCGTGAACCGACTGCAGAGCGAAGTACAGGAACAGCGGCTGGAAGAAAAAAAACCACAATGGGGGGGCGGGGGGGGAGGACACGGTGAGCTGGTAGCAATGTTCAGCATCTCCCAGCTCATACGAACAATGCGGCAGCGCTAATCTTTGGCGTTGGCTCCCGGGACGAAGGGAGGGTGAGGAGGGTCTGCCTACGGGGCGACAGCTGGTGAAATTCGTTCGATCAACCCCCAGTGAGATGATAGATAGGCTCGGCTGTTTCTTGGACAGGATTTGAACTCGCGTCCTTTGTTCGAATCAAAAGCTGGGGCTGGGGTGAAATGCCAGATGAGGCCCCCTCCGAGGCCCTATTGGATCAAATGAACTCCCCCCTCCCTCCTGCCCCACCTGTCCCTCCTGCCCCACCTGCCCCACCTGTTCTTCATTGCCTCAACCTCCCCCTCCCCCTACTCAGCAGCCCTGTTCCGACTCAGAGTCTATACTGAGCCTGGTGGTCACACAACACTGTAATTATTTCCGTCCGTCCGTTTCATTTACAGTGGCTGAAGTTCAAGTGATGGACCACAAGGCACGTTCGGCATCGTAAACACGACCTGCCTATAACGTAACTATGCTGCAGTTAATAAAGTCAATCGCCACACGAGGAAGAGCCGCCACCACCACCACCACGTTCCCATGGCCGTCATTTCACGATGCCGCGTGGGAATTGGCCGATCGCCCCCCCCTTCCCCCCGACTCCACACTCACCGCGCCCGGGCTACCCGGTGCCTTCTCCACGCGCCTCCTGACAGCTACGAGAAGCCACCGCGGGCGGCGTTGTAACCCTGGCGGCGTTTGTGAGGCCACGCGAGCTGCGAGCTCCTCCCGAGCGGTCCGAGGAGCGAGGTGAAGGGCCCCCCGACCGGGTGAAGATTGAAGCCCTCGGGGCGCCGTCACGGAGAGAAATAACTCGTCGAGGGGCGCGTCGACGAGTTGAGCGAAGCCGACGCCTACGCTCGCGATACGCGCGTTGTCGCATCCCGCGTATCGCGCGAGAGAGGGGGGGGATTGCAAATGACGCCGGCGTGTAGGCTGACGGCACGGAGGACGCCGTGCAAACGAGACGGAGAAAGTGAGGCAAGGATCGATTCTTGGATCGAATCATTGAAACCCTGGGGGGGGGGGGGGAAGGGGCTTCGTGGGGGTGTGGGTGGTGAATCGTTCAATTAATCCGTGGGAGCGGTGGCGCAGTGGTTAGCAGGCTGTGCTACGAACCCAGTGGCCTGAGTTCAACTCCCCTAAGTCGGTTGTGTAAACATCAGCACTGGAGAGACAAGAGTGGCCGGAGGTGGTGCTGGCCACCCACCCCGGCGCCTCCTATGCTGGCCTTCATAATAGGTGCTCGCTAACGGCACCTGCCCCCAACCTTCTGGCCACAAATGATAGCTCGACGAAGTGGCTGATCGCGTGAACATTCACAGCGGCGGCTTCCTGTGTCCCAGGCACAGGCTCCCACCGTCAGCTCTCGTACCTTGCTCTGATTGTGCTTCGTAATAATCTCCCGGGCCCTGTCGACGAAAATCCCGGCCGAGTAGTCTCCGTCATAGCCATGGGCGACGGCTTCTCCGTCCCTGAAGTCCAGCGCACAGGGCGTGTGATTGAGGGCCGGCGTGGGCACGCACCGCTTGTGGGAGTAGTAGTCCTCGCTGCCCGTCAGGTACCCTGCGCTCGTCACGAGGAGTTTAAACGCCGCCGTCACCACTGGGCTCATTCGCGATCCAAGGGTCACCTTCGTTATTGTACGTACATTGAACTTCTTTTGCACTGCACGTAGCCAACCGTGCTAATCGGAGGTGCCGGGGAAGGACAACAGACCTTGTATGGGTCTCTGTGTGAGTCTATGGATCTCTGTGGGAGTCTATGGGTCTCTTTGTGAGTCTATGGGTCTCTGTGGGAGTCTATGGGTCTCTGTGTGAGTTTATGGGTCTCTCTGTGAGTCTATGGGTCTCTGTGTGAGTATATGGGTCTCTGTGTGAGTCTATGGGTCTCTGTGTGATGAGTCAATGGGTCTCTCTGTGAGTTTATGGGTCTCTGTGTGAGTTTATGGGTCTCTGTGTGAGTTTATTGGTCTCTGTGTGAATCTATGGGTCTCTGTGTGAGTCTACGTACGTACGTTGAACTTTTTTCGCACCGCACGTAGCCAACCGTGCTAATCAGAGGTGCGGGAAAAGGACAACAAGGTGGTGATGATACAAATCGTCTCATTCGCATCGTCCCTCTCGTGTCTATCGTTTGTTCCGTCCCGAATTCCGCGCGTGGGTTTTTCATGGCCGACGTCACGATTCCTAATTCGTGCTCCGGCTTAGAAATCGCGTGTGGACACGATGTCGATTCACTTATTGACATCGATCGTTAAGCTCACGATGCTGTTCATCGAATACGCGGCGGTAAGAACTGATCCTGGACGATTCGTGTTTGCTGCACCTGCCCACTGCAGCCACTCAGAAGCTGCTACATTTATAATAAAACAACAATAACCTCAACCAGTACCACGCCACCACACAGTATTCGCTTGCTCTCGAAGAGAGAGGACGACTCAGAGGCACGAAGAGGAACCGCAGACGAGCGGGAAGGCGGCAACAGCAGCCACGCGGTTGAGCAACCATTGCCTGAGCTCTGCAGTCCTCCACATATATGAAGCTGTTATCGGCCAATTAGCGAGTGTTGACGTGTGGGAAGAAACAGGAGCACCCGGAGAAAACCCTCTCGTGCGAGGTGGAAGGGCAACATCCCATACAGATGGGGCAGGTGGAATTGACTTTTTCTGCGTGGCCGCTTTCTCCTGGCGAGCCGGAGTGCGAGCAGCCTCCTCCCCGACGCCCACAGGAGAAGGGGGTTTGCTCAACATTTGCACAGCGATCCACTAACCTCTCGCTGCCTGCTCCACAGTGCTGAATGGCAGCACGCGTAGCCACGACCGCCGCGGCAGCCGCCGCCCGGCTACAATGTTTAAAATACACTCAACACAAAGCGTTTACAAATAATGATTACAACTACTGAACTGAAACCCTACCCTGAACCAAGACTCGCTCATCCTTGGATATGGAACTGGAAACTTCCCAAGGGAGAGTGGTGTGGGAGGAGGTGGGCAGTCCTCAAATTCCACGTTTTATAAACAGGGCACTACATTGAAAACCATACAATTAAAACACTCAATGCATTTTCTCTGGTAAATTTCAATAAAAAATATAAAACATATTCTGGGCCTCATGGGTGAATGGATGGTTGGGGGAAGGAAGCTTCCAAATCCGCCGCCGATTCGCTCCGAAGGTGACGGCGGTTACAAAAAAACTTGCGCACAATCGACAGCGGACAAGCTGGGCCCAACGTTGGGCCGACGTTGCACTCACCGAAGTACGAGTCGAAGCCCCTACGCGTGGGGAGGCACTCTCGCTTGTACATGCCCAGGTGCCACTTTCCGACCATGTGCGTGGCGTAGCCGGCCTGCTGCAGCAGCTGGGGCAGCAGCTTCTCGTCGCTGGGGAGGCAGTGGGGCTGGCAGGGCCAGATGATGCCATGCTGCAAACCCGTGTGGATCTGAACAACAATAAACAACACGCAACAAGTTACTGCAGCAAAAAAACTATCATGAAACTATATATATTTTTTATTTTAAACCATTTTGTATTTGACCAGGTAAGGCCCACTGGAAAATGTAAAGTGTTGTTGTTGTCGTTGTTCGTAAAAATGGAAGGAACCGGAACGAGAGGAAGAGCTAACAGACAATGGCTTGATGACGTGATAAGATATTGTTGCCAGACAGATGTGACCACTACTTGAGCACATTGGCACAAGACAGAGGAAAGTGGAAACACATGAGGAAATGTGCAGTGGACGCCTGCTACAGGCTATCTGCCCATGGGTCGTGATGATGATGATGAAGTAGGCCCACTGAACTATGTAGCTCTCTCGATTTGAAGTTTTCGTGGCTGCAGGAATCCATACTCTTTGGTTCTTGCAGTAAAGTCACGTAGGTAGAAAAATAAAATAAAACAAAAAATAAAATATCACGATGCTACGATCGCAACGCAAGCGGTCGTCCTCGGTATACCAGGCGAAGTCATTAACATCTCACCACCGTGGCACCCCGAATTACCGTCCCCCCCGCCCCCGCATACGGGGATAGAGCGTTGCACCCTCGCGTGCGTGGGTTTTTCTCCAGGTGCTCCCGTTTCCACCCACGTGTATAATACACACTTGTATAATGTGTGTGTGTGACACGTCTGTGTGTGTCTATGTGTGTGTGTGTGTCTATGTGTGTGTGTCTATGTGTGTTTGTCTATGTGTCTATGTGTGTGTGTCTCTATGTGTGTGTGTCTATGTGTGTGTGTGTCTATGTGTGTGTTTGTGTCTGACATGACTTTGAACCCGGTGACACGGGTTCGATTCCCGCTCACTGCCAACATCAGTGACAATTATTTGAACCGGTCCCGGGCCTCCCCTAGGTCGACTCAGCCTCAAATGAGTACCTGGTGCGGTGTGTAAACATTGCCACTAGGGAGACAAAGGCGGTCGGGCGTGGTGCTGGCCACCCACCCCCTCGTGTACCGTTCCGGCCTTCATAGATGCTCGCTAACAGCACTTGCCCCTACAGTCTGTTAAGGCTATACAGGGGATCTTTGTCTTTGTTTGACACGTCTATGTGTGTGTGTGTCTATGTGTGTGTCTATGTTTGTGTGTCTGTGTGTGTGTCTGTGTGTGTGTATGTGTGTCTATGTGTGTGTGTCTGTGTGTGTGTCTGTGTGTGTGTCTGTGTGTGTGTGTCTATGTGTGTGTGTGTCTATGTGTGTGTGTCTATGTGTGTGTGTCTGTGTGTGTGTGTCTGTGTGTGTGTGTGTCTATGTGTGTGTCTATGTGTGTGTGTGTCTATGTGTGTGTGTGTCGAGGGGGCTAAACGGGCGCGGCACGGGCTAGAGAAGAGATGGAGTGATGTGGTATAGGAGGACGTGGAGCTGAGTGGACTTGCCGATGACTGGTACCAGCGGTGTCAAGATCGGCCTCAGTGGAGGAGGCTCGTGAAGGACGCTACTGGGCAGTTGGAGGCAGTCGCCCTCCAACAACAACGGAGGGCGGAGGAGCGACGCTCACAACAACGAGCGGAGCGCCTTGTGGCTAAAGCACAGCAAGTTGGCACAGTAGGGGGCACAGGTGGTGCATCAGCCAGTCATCTCGGTCATCTCAGTCAGTCGACCCGTGGCACCTGCTGGGTCTGCCCCGTGACCTCCTGCCAGCGGGCGTTCGACACTTCACGTGACAGCCTCAAGGTGCACTTGGCCTGGCACAAGCGTCGTGGTGACGTCACCGCCACTTAGTGGCGAATGGCGGTTGTTGTTGTTGTGTGTCTGTGTGTGTGTCTATGTGTGTGTGTCTGTGTGTGTGTCTGTGTGTGTGTGTCTATGTGTGTGTGTGTCTATGTGTCTGACATGACTTTGATTTCCGCTCACGGTCACAAAATCGGTGACAACCACCTGAACCTGTCCTGGGCCTCCCCTAGGTCGACTCAGCGGTAAGTGAGTACCCGGTACGCTGTGTAGTAAACATCCCCACAAGGGAGACAAAGGCGGCCGGGTGTGGGGCTGGCCACGCACGCGCCTCATCGTGCACCGTCTTGCCCTTCATAGGCGCTTGCTCGCCAACAGCACTTGCCGCAACAGTCCGCTGAGGCTACCCGGGTGATCTTTGTCTGTGTAGACGTCTATCTGCCATGCGCGTGAGGAGCGGTGGTGCAGCGGTTAGTGCGAGCGGTGGTGCAGCGGTTAGCGCCACGCCGCGCTACTAACCCGGCGACCCGAGTTCGATTCCCGCTCACGGTCAACCAACAGCGGTGACGATTATCCGAACCGGTCCTGGGCCTCCCATAGGTCGACTCAGCCTCAAACGAGTTCCCGGTGCGTAGTCAACATCGCCACAAGGGAGACAAAGGCGGCCGGTACGTGGTTCCTGTCCACCCCCGCGTGCCGTCCCAGCCTGCACCGGTGCAACGCGCTCAGGGCACTTGCCCCGACAGTCTGCTCGAGACTGGGGCTCCTTTGTCTTTGCGTGGCATCGCCTTACCTGGTACCTGCCGGACATCAGCTGACTGCGAGACGGGGTGCATATGGGCTGCACGTAGTAGCGGGCCAGCGTGACGCCGTGCCAGGCTAGGTGGTCCAACTGCGGGGTCCTGATCTCCGAGCCGTGAAAGCCCACGTCGTTCCAGCCGTAGTCGTCGGCGAGGATGAAGACGAGGTGAGGTGGAGGTGATGCAGGAGGAGGTCTTGCCGGCGAGACGCACGCCACCACCAGAATCAGCAGCAGCAGCGGCGCAGGATTCATCGTTATGGACTCCCTCTGTCTCTCTCTCTGTCTCTCTCTCGCTGTCTCTTGTTGATGTCAGATCATTTTCTCTCTCGTGTTCTGCTTTTTTCGCCCTGTTGCCCGCGCGTCAAAGCGGCGTTTCCGTGGGCTCAGGCCGGACGCAGATTCCGCTCCGCCTCCGAAGAGGAGGAGGGAGGGGAGGACGGAGCAGGGGAGGGAAGGGAGGAGGGTGATGGTGGGGGTGGTGGATGGGTGGTGGATGGGGGTGGATGGGTGGTGGATGGTGGGGGTCGTGGGTGGTGGAGGTGGTGTGGTGATGGGTGGTGGGGGTGATGGGTGGGGGTGATGGGTGGTAGGTCGTGGGGGGGTGATGGGGTGGGGTGGTGTGTTGATGGGTGGTAGCGTGATGGGGTGGGGGGTGGTGGGGTGGGGGTGGTGATGGGTGGTTGGGGTGGATGGTGGGGGTGGTGGTAGGGATGGTGGTGGTTGGTAGGGTGGGGGTGGTGGGGGTGGTGCTGGGGGTTTGTGCGGTTCCCCTGCGCCGCCTAGCGGTGTATGCTGCACGGTGTCTCTGTGATGCGTGACAGAGAGGGGTCTCATCTTGACTTGAAGTTTTCGTGACTGCAGGAATTCACCCAAGGACGTAGCCATGGAGTCAACATTGGGGGGGGGCAAATCTTCCAGGGTGTCTGGGGGTCCCAACCCAGAAAAAATATAAATTTGAAAACTCATTTCCTGCCTAAAATATTTAAAAATTCACTAACACATGGGATGGACTTTTCATTTATGTTGTCCAATGTCTAATAGTGTATTGTATTACATTGCTCTGTTTGTACTTTTTTACCATTTCTTGTTTCATTGTATGTAATGGCAGAGATTAGGGATTAATAAAGTACAATCATAACCACAATCATATAAACAGAAATCTATGCATTGATTTATGAAGACAAGTCCAGATATTGTGACCAAGGTTGAGCGAATTGTTGTTTTTATTTAGATAGCATATAGCAATTATGTTTTTATAGCAATATATTTGGGGGGGGGGGACATTTTGAGCATGTTTGAATATGGGGGGGGGGGGATGTGTTCCCCCCCCCTAATATTTATTATAATTACGGCCTTGAATTCATATTCTTTGGGTCTTCCGGTAAAGTCACGTAGATAGGTTCAAAGAAAATAACAAAGACGTTTCGATTGCAACACAAGCGGTCGTTATCAGCTGGCCAGCTGCCAATGCGTTCCTGGTACAGCACGCCGGTGTGTTGCAGAGTAAACCCACGAAGGTTCGTAAATTGTAAATGTTGTAGTGGGTTTACTCTCCAACACACCGGTGTGCTGTACTAGTAACGAATTGGCACGCTTTGTTTACATAACAAACCTTACTCATTGGCTGTGTCGGGTGGTGGCGGGTTTAACGACACATTTATATATTTTACGCGATCTAACCCAATAAAACCTCTTTTGGACAGATATTGCCCGCGAAAGCCTCCTGCTATACTACGACGACTACGGTGTCACATCTCTGTGATTTTGGGGGAAACCGCAGAGCTCGGGCAAGTTTATTTGAAGGGGGGGCCCGGGATAATACAGGGTGCTTCAAAAACATGTTCACACTTATATGGGACTATCGTTTTTAATGGAAAAAGAACGGGTAATATTACTCTTTGGGTCTTTCGGTAAAGTCACGTAGATAGGTTCAAAATAATAAAAATAAAATATACAAACAAACAAAAAACTACATTTTTGTATTAATGTGAACCTATCTACGTGACTTTAGACCCAAGTAACATGAATTCCTGCAATCACGACAGCTTTAAGTGAAGATTTAGAACGGCTAATAGACTGTAACACGATAACAAATATATGTTAATAGCTTCAACAAAGTCAAAGAGTCTCCCACTTTGTTCGCCGTCGTTGTCAACGCGCGCCTGGAATCTTCTCCACGTGGATCTACAGAGGCCAGAGGCGGCACGTCTCTCGTGGCGTTGTTGCCAATTCTCAGAAGTGTTCACATTTTGTATTTCAAGCACCCTGCATTACGGACGTACTGGCAGTACCCCACCTGTACAGCAGCATAACAACATCAGACGATCATCTGTTGATGATTCCGGGAACGAATCGAGGAGTAAATCGTCCCGACCCAAGTCTCTAAGGGGGCACGAGAAGCTCAACTCTCGCCGCCTTTGGAACACGGGGACAGCCCATCGCCATCAGGGCCTCGGCGCTGCTGCTACACGGCAACAGACTGCGAAGCTTCAGCGTGTGCAGCCCGCCTCGACAACACGAGAACCAATTTTGACGCACCACCACGCACCTCCACCATGCACCACCACCACCACGCACCACCACCACCACGCACCACCATGCACCACCACGAACCTCCACCACGCACAACCACCACCACCACGCACCACCACCACCTCCACCACCACGCAACACCACCACCACCACGCACCACCACGCACCATCACCATCCCGCACCACCACCACGCACCACGCATGAAGAACCAGTGGCATCTTCATCTACAAAACACGAATAACCAGTGGCATCTAATCTGAAGAACGTGAAGAACCAGTGACATCTACATCTGCAGAACATGAAGAACCAGTGGCAGCTTCGTATGCAGAACACGAAGAACCAGTGACATCTATATCCGCAGAACATGTAGACCGAGTGGCATCTATATCTGCAGAACGTGAAGAACCGGTGGCATCTTCATCTACAGGAGATTGTACAACTTGTAAAGCCCCGTGTTTAGTGTGAATGCCGTACAACACGTGTGGAATCGACAGGAGTAAGTTGGACTTATGAACAAATCGACTTACAAATAGACCTCTGGAATCTAACTCGTTCGTAAGTAGAGGAGTCCCTGTCCAATGGGCGGCAGCCGGACCCCGCGATCTAGAGTGGTCGCCGTTTAAATTCTCGCTGTTTCCTCCTCCTCCCCATGTCCACCTTTCAGAAGTGTCCAACTCCCTTACCAACGTCTTTCGTGGGAAATAGGAGGCCTCTGGCTTTCGATGGTCACACACCGGCAGCGGCAGCGAGGCCGCACCGCACCGCTGGGCATCTGTCGCTGGGCAGTGGCACGTGGGAGGTTGTGAGCGGAACACAGCGAATGGGTAGAGCGCAATAACTCAGTGATCATAATGATGGCATTCATAACGCGCCAGATGTTGTAGACAAGTCAACAACTCAGAGGCGCGGAGCCAAGCTCAGGGCTGCTCGAAAGCGCTGAGACCCAACACAGATCGAGAGGCCTTTAGATGTGTCTTGAAAGTCAGAGGTCATTCCATGTTGTGGATGTGCAAGGGATATAGAAAGTTCCACGCCGAGGGGCAACAGCAGAGAACCGACGTGAGTCTGTAACAGTGCAATGTAGAATATAGTGTATGGTAATGTATAGTGTAGTGTATAGTAATGTAGTGTATAGTAATGTAGTGTATAGTATAGTAGTGTAGTGTATAGTGTAGTGTATAGTAGTGTATAGTGTAGTGTATAGTGTGGTGTATAGTAGTGTAGTGTATAGTAATGTAGTGTATGGTAATGTAGTGTATAGTAGTGTAGTGTATAGTGTAGAGTATAGTAGTGTATAGTGTATAGTAATGTAGTGTATGGTGTAGTGTATAGTAGTGTAGTGTATAGTGTTGGGTATAGTGTGGTGTATAGTAGTGTATAGTGTAGTGTAGAGTGACGTTCAGTTGTAACAGTTCGACACCTTTGGTGTCCGAAGTATATTTTGAATGACGCTGCTGTTGCCGCCTCGGGCTCTTCCATGAATCTTCAGTGCAAGGCGAGAGAGTAGTGAGTCGAGGTATGGCGGAGAACTGGTGGTTGAAGGCGCGATGTCGAAGGCAGGCGGGGTTTTGTCATTTGTCCCGCTGGCGAAAGGGAGCCAATGAAGGGAACGGAAAGCGGTGGCTGAGTCGAGTTGTAGATGATGAACGCCAAGGCACGAGGCCTTACGAAGAGAGGCGTGCAGTGGGCGACGTTCCGGCAACGTGCGCTGAGTTTCATCCGGAAGTTTCCAGTGTCCTTACCCACATGAAGGAAGCCGGGCACTCGACAATTGAAGTTGCCAAACATCCCAAAGCAGGACTCGATTGGAGAAACAAAGTGTCTTGGAGCTCCATTAAGAAGGTTCAACTATTATAAATGTTTCTTTCGTTTAAGGACACGCAGTGTGTGTCGACACGGAACGTGTTGGGTGACTTCGTGGTTGTGTGCCCTTCTGCATCACTGCCAAAGCAGCAGCAGCAGCGGCAGACTTCATCTTAAAATCGCTTCGAATTTACCGAGCGCCTCTGTAGTTGTCGGATTGGACGATTTCGAAACGCAGACGATCCCATCCCATCATGGGACCTCCCTTGCCAGTATCAAAATATAAGAAAAAGTTTTGACCCTTTCTGGCAGGAGAAAGTGTTACCCTTAACACCTCTTTTATTGCCAGAAAGGGTAAAACCTATTCTTATCCCCCCCCCCCCCAACGCGCCAAATTGCTATCCCAGAATGACGCATCCACCAGCGACCAGCAACTTTAATCAACACACACACACAGCGCGTTGTTTACGATTTTAATAAACAAAACAAAAGGACAAGATGAGAAAACATGAACTTGTAAATAATTATTATTACAATAAATAAAAATCGTTTCGCACACACGCGTCATTTCAGACGAGGACGGACGGCACGGAAAGCATGCTGACACAAAGTGGCGCGCGAGTTGTCTCTCGACGCCGCGGGGCGACTGCTCCGGTCCGCGGCCCATGGGGGCGGTGGGTCGGCTCCACGCGGGGTGGGAAATGCCACCAACGTCCACCGTGGGTGGCGTCCAGAAGGCTCAGGACAAAGCCGCGTCCTCCTGTAACGCCGCGCGTTGTTTTTCATAGCGCCAATTGGATATGCAACGCGACGAATGTAATTGGGGAACACATTTTCGTTTTTTTTAAACGCGGATGCGTTTTGGATATAGAACGCGATCGAGCGAACGGAACGACGTCGCAACGCCAGTTGGAACAAGCGTTCATACGGCCTCGGCGTAGCGTCGTCGCACGAGGCAGCGGGATGCTGCTGGATGCTTCTAGATGCTACCACACGCACCGCGGTCTTTGTCGACCTGAGTACGCTTCTCACGTGTTGTCGCGGACTGTGCTTTACCCTACATTATATATGATTCATTATAACGCGATTATTACACAACACGGTGGTGTTTTTCAGGAACGCAACAACCACCGCGTTCTAGAACAGACCGTACATAGTGTCTGCTTCAAATGCCACACTTCTTTCATAATCTCATATTCCATAAACGAATTGATGTCGCGTGTTTTACTTCTGAAATTATAATTCTCTGCCACGCATACTAAAGATCCCTTCTGTAATGGGCGCCACGGTGGCAGGATGTTAACGACCTCGCCTGGTACATAGGGGGCCGTGGGTTCGATCCCAACCCTGACGCCTGCTGCTGCTGTATATTTGGAGTTTGTGTGTCTCTCTCCCAGTGGTCTTGTGGATTTTTCTCCGGGTCCTCTGGTTTTTTCCCTCCACATTTAGAATCAACATTATGCGTTTAGAATAGTTGGCTGCTATACATTTCCACATAATGATAAGCTGCTTCATTGTAATATCATTTGTGGCCAGGTCGCTTCTGAAAAAGTGCTGCACAACTCAGTGGGCCTTACCCGACAACTGCCCAAGATCTGCAGTCCTCTACGGATAAAATGCGACTTACAAATGTCAATTATTATTGTTGTATTAAGGTGTTCTTGGCCAATCTCATGAGTGTTTATATGTGGGAGGACACCGGAGCACACGGAGAAAAACTACGCATGCGAGGGGGAAACACGCTATCCCATCCATAATAGAGGGTTTATTTTGGGTTAGATCGCGTAAGTTTCAACGTGTCATTAAGCCCGTCACCACCCGACACAGCCAATTAGTAAGGTTTGCCACGTAAACAAAACGTGCAAATTCATTACTAGTTCGGCACACCGCTTGTGTGTTGGAGAGTAAACCCACAAACATTTACAATTCGAGTACGACATTTCGTTGGTAATCCCCTTACAGACGGAACAGGTGGAGTCCACATCTTTGCCGTCTCCTGGCGAGTCAGAGTATGGCACCTCCTTGATAGCCACGGGAAAGGGAGTTTCACAACATCTGTGCGATCCCCCCCCCCTCCACCTCCCAGCTGCCTCCACAGCGCTGGATGACAGCATGTGTAACTACCACCGCCGCCGCTGCCGCCTGGCTAAATGGCAACATTGGCATGGACATGGGTGGTCTGTGAGTTGCGTAAATCGTACACAATTGGATCATTCCGAGTTGCGCGCAATGTGACGCGTGCATCCTCAGTTGTGTTTACCGACCCAGAGACTGCCGACCGCACAGGGTTCCTTTACAGCTGTCGACCCGAAACGAAACTGTAGAATGTTGGGATGCGTCAAAAGTAAATTCAACATCCTCGAAATTCAAATGAGGTGCTGCCCCTTAGCAAGTGGCAGCAAATGGGTCCAAATTGCCTCCCACCGGGGCACTCCACACAGCCAAGATTGAGTTTCTCTCTCCGCTCTATTTCTCGGGCGAACTACTGCATGGGCGGCGTGCGGTTATCGCGGCTATTTTCTAAACGTCACGGCGGTAAGTGCGGGAGGCCGGATGAGCCGAATGAAATCGCTCGGGGAGGTGGCGGGCGCCATCCCTTTGTGACAAACGCCGCGTCAGAGACGGGGAGCCGCCGGGTGTGGGCGGGAGAGAACGAGCCGTGGTTACCGCCACCGCCACCACCATCATGCATCGATTGTTTGGGCATTCACTCGACGAATAGACATTCTAGGGGCTACACACACAGCGGGGTCGCTAGCCTAGACACCATCTCTAAATATTGCATGGGCAAGTGTCCCATCCGCGAGGTCGCCCCGCCTCAGCCAGTCGAGGCGCCTACTCCTTCTCCCCCTTCTCCCCCTTCTCCCCCTTCTCCCCTTTCTCCACCTTCTCCCCCTTCTCTGCTTTCTCCCCCTTCGCTCCCTTCTCCTTCTCCTCCTGCTTCTGCTTGCTCGGGCTCGGCTTGTGCGATTCCTTGTTCTCTTTAGCACGAGGAGTCGTCTTTTTCTCCTCCCCTTTCTCCTCCTCCACCACCGGCGACTTCTTATTCTTCTTCTTGGGGGAGCTCGCCACCACCGTCACCGCCGCCGTGACGCCACCCTCCCGGGCGGACGCCTTGGCCGCCACCTTCTTGCCGTTGTCCTCGGACGTCTTGCGGCGGAGGAGCAGCAGCGGCGGCGAGTAGGAGGCGGGGAACGGCGAGCGGCTCGAGGAGGAAAAGGAGAAGGAGGCGGCGGAGGTGCGGTCCGCCACGCTGCCGCCGCCACCTCCGAAGCGAGTCTCCTCACTCTCCAGGAGTTTTCTGTCCGGGACGAGAGGAGGAGGAGGTGGCGGTGGTGGCACCGTTTTATTGGGTGGGGGGGCGGCAGGACAGGGGGGGGGGGGGGGACATGAGGCAGCTGCGGCGCAGCCAGCGGGTTTTTGCCGATTGTTGCGGAGGTTCACGGTTAATACTGGTTCAACACGCAGCACTGTAGTAGGGCTTTTGCAATCTATATTATCCATAATAGAGGGGTTTTTTTCTGGGTTAGATCGCGTAAATATAAATGCCTCGTTAAACCCGCCACCACCCGACACAGCCAATTAGTAAGGTTCGTCACGTAGACGTGAACGTGCCAATTCGTGACGAGTCCAGCACACTCGGTTGTGTGTTGGAGAGGAACCCCCCCCCCCCCCCCCCCCCACAACATTCACAATTCGAGCGCGACGTTTCACCGGTAATTATAATACCGCGAGTTATATTCACCGCGGAGACTGACGTGCTCAGTGCACACCACGGGGGGAGGCGGGGGGGGGGATGTTAAATATCCCCGCGAGGTTTGTCAAAGGGAAAAAAAAGTGGAGGCGGCCACGTGGTTCAAATTCGCCACGTTTGAATGGCAAAGATCACTCTCGTTGGTTGGCTCAAAGCCACGTGGGCAGCACATTCCCCTCCCCCACCCCCTACTGGCAGACGAGGCTGTCCACCAAATTGGCAGGCCCCCTGCTGCGTGCGCCTTTGTGACGCGTAGGGACAGCTGGCAGCTGCCACCGGGGGGCAGCCTTGAGCTGCCGAGGCATTTAGGCGAGCGCCAATTTCAACTCCCAACACGAGTCAATCTTTAAAGGAAAAAATAAACATTTATCCACAATCAGAATCATGCAATTATACTGGAGGAATCCGATAAGGTATTAAGCCCTTTTTTTAAACGGATGATTTATGTGTTTGGCCGTGCGGAACAAGGAGGAGCGACGCACCAACGACAATGAGATGTCCGCTTTCCAAAACGTGACTTAACGCGGGGATGGGGGGTGGTCGTGCATGACCCGACTGGGGGAAGCGCGCCACAAAAAAAAACCACGACACCACCTCGACGGCACCTTCGAAACGTCGAATGGACTCCGCAAGGGAGCGCGCAAACTGAGCGCGTGTTTGGGCACGGCGAAGAGAGACGAGTGAGTGAGAGAGAGAGAGCGAGTGGGGATTGCAAAGCCATTATGGCGGCCGTGCAAGTGCGCGCACGTCATCGTTGGGGTGGATTGATGCACGCCTGGGAATTTACACCACGAGAGACCAGTGAGAGGAACATGTGGAACGGAGATGATGGCCGGTGGTCAAAGCTGAGGATAGAGTGGCAGTTAAAGGAGGGAGGATGAGTACGAGGAGTCAACTTCCAAACCAGGCGTGTTGTTATTGTGATTCTTGCCTTGAGTGGTGTCATCATCATCATCAACATCACCATCGTCATCATCATTGCACAACTGACCGGACGCCACCTCAACGATCGGGCCGTCCTGGGAAATCCCGGAGAGGTGGGGGGGCTTTTGTAATCCACTGCCGGATGAGGGCCTCGCCTCACCGTGCGGCGATGGGGCGAGGGTTATTTGGCCATACTTCACCATCGCTGCTCCTAAGCGGGCAAGACAATTGGGCGCGGCTCGCGTGACCCCTCATGGTGGCGGCCACGGGGCAGGGTCTCACCTGTAAGCAGCGATCTCGATGTCGAGCGCCATCTTCACGTTGAGCAGGTCCTGGTAGTCGCGGAGGTGTCGCGCCATGTCCGCCTTGGTGCAGCGCAGCTCATCCTCGAGCTGCTCGACGCTCTCCTGGGACGCGGGGGACAGGAGGACGTGGGATGAGGATGACATTGGGAAGACGAGGAGGACGTGGGATGAGGAGGAGATTGGGAGGACGAGGAGGACGTGGGATGAGGATGACATTGGGAAGACGAGGAGGACGTGGGATGAGGAGGACGTGCGGAGGAGGATGTGGAGGAGGATGTGGGGAGGAGGACGTGACAAGCCAACTTCGTTGAGCTATCATTTGTGATGGTCAGATCGCTACTGAAAAATATCTATTTCGCTCAGTGGGCATTACCTGGCAAAAAAAAATATTGTTTTGTTATTAAAGAAACTTGCACTGCCGCGCCAGGACGAGGAATCGAACCGGCCACCTCCTTACGACCACTGGACCTTCTGGGTGTGTCCATTGTGAGCAGCATTGGTGCAACACAAGCCAAACTTTGAATCGGTTTCGATCGTTCGGTGTCTCATCGGCAGAGTTAGGCTCGCCGCTCGAACCGATTCTGGTGAACTGCCTGATACCCATGGGCAAAGGACCCTGTTGATGGCGCAAGGACCCATTTGTAATGAATTACCGTCCATAGTTGTGCGTCGAATTAGGAACCCAATTTCTTTCAGGAAGGGGATCCTTGCCTGTCAACACCGGGCAGTCAGTTCCCGGCAGTCCACCAGCTCTCACGCAGAGCGACCGGCCGGCTAAGTCACTTGGGACGGAATCGCTAACAGTCGCTCATTGGGCCGAATGAATGACTGAATGAACGGAATGAATGACTGAATGAACGGAATGAATGACTGAATGAACGGGATGAATGACTGAATGAACGGCATGAATGACTGAATAATCGGAATGAATGACTGAATGAACGGGATGAATGACTGAATGAACGGAATGAATGACTGAATGAACGGGATGAATGACTGAACGGAATCGGGCGACTCCGCTGGCAGCGTAGCGAAGGGCGCGGGACGAACGCTCCCGGTTCGTTCAGGGCAACGCAGCGAACGAAATGGAAACCAACGAAACAAAATAGACGAGAAAGAAACGCGAACGGGTCGGTCCAAAAATCCCCCCAACAAAAAAACGAGACTCACAACAACCACCGCGATTCTGCAATCCAAATGTGGCCCTGAATTTGCGCCAATTCATAGGATCGCCGGCAGAGGAGGCGGTGTGGGTTGCTGGTGGTGGGGGGGGGGGGTGAATCGATACCTATTGATCCCAATAGGAGATGTCACTGACGTCTGTAGTGCCTCAACCTGTGACCCTCCCCCCACTCCCTACAGGTAACATCCACTGACCTTTTGAACCCCCTCGCCCCGTGACTCGGTGCGGCTAGGTGGCTAGGAGATGTTAACTCCCTCACCTGGGATGCAGGAGGTCGTGAGTTTGATCCCGACCCTGACGCCTGCTGCTGTATATTTGGAGTTTGCGGTGTCTCTCTCTCTCATTATCACGCGTTTTGAGTATTTGGCTGTTATAAATTTCCACGCGACAAACCACTTCGTTGAGCTATCATTTGTGATAGCCGGTCGCTTCTGAAAAAAAGTGTTACGTAGCTCAGTGGACCTTACCTGGTAAAATAACAATGTCAGTTCAGTTGAGTTCGTTGACTCCCACGTGAATTGTCAGTGACCTCTGTGACCTCTGCCTCCCTGTTGTCACACGGCCTCTGGGGACCTCTCCACCGCGTGACCTCCACGGGAGTGAGTGGGAGGAGGAGGAAGGAGGTGGTCCTTCACCTGGGGACCTCCTGCGCATCCCCCAGTGAGTGAGCCGTGGAGGATCAAGCCGGGGGGTGGGGGGGGGCCGCGCGCCGCTCTCACCTGGAACGCGGCCACCTCGCTCCCGTAGCGCTCCTCCGCGTCCTGCAGTTGGCGGTCGAGAGACTCGTTGGCGCAGCGCATCGCCTCCACCTCGAGCGTGCGCGCCTGCAGCAGGCGCCGGCTCTCGCCCAGCTCCTCCTTGGCGGCGCGGACCGCGTCGTGGTCCCGCGCCGCCGCCTCGCCGAGGTCGGCGAACCTGGCCCCGTACCACTCGTCGGCCGCCTCCAGGTTCCGCGCGGCGAGGCTCTCGCACCGCGCGCGCATCTCGCGCAGCGCCGCGGCCACGTCGGGCTTGCTGCCCTCCGCCTCGACGCTGGCCCGCGCCGCGCGCGCCGCCGCCGCCCGCAGCTCGGCCGCCTCCTCGTCGCGCGCCCTGCGCTGGAAGGAGAGCTCGTCCAGCAGCGCCTCGGCGCTCCTCTCGAGCTCGGCGCGCGCCAGCGCCGCGCCCTCCGCCTCGCGGCGCAGCGACTCCGCGGCGCCCTCCGCCTCGCGGCGCAGTCGCGACTCGCGCTCGGCGCGCTCCGCGAGGCGCCGCGCCTCCGCCTCCAGCTGGTCGCGCTCCAGCCGCAGGGTCGCCTTGTCGCGGCTCAGCTCGTCGGCGAGGGAGCGGAGGTCGCGCATCTCGGCGTCGTAGAGGTCGCCGAGGCGCGACGGCGTCGCCTGCTGCTGCTGCCGGAGGAGCGCCACCTCCGCCTCGAGCAGCCGCTTGGCCTCCTCCAGCTCGTGCACCCGCTCGATGTAGCCCACGAAGCGGTCGTTGAGGCTCTGCAGCTGCTCCTTCTCGCTCGTCCTGCCCGCCTTGTACTCCGAGTTGAGGGCGCCCAGGGGGCCCCCCGACCCGCGGGGGGTCCACGCGAGCCCCGAGCCGCTCCCCGGCGCGCCGTAGAGACGCGCCGGGGAGCGGCTCGACTCGGAGAGGACGCGGCTCACGGCGCTCGCGGCGCTCCTGCGGCACGGAGACGCGTAGAGGTCGTAGGGGGCGTGCAGGCTCATCGTGCTCGTGGCGTGGCCCGAGAGGAGGAGGAGGACGAGGAGGACTATCCCTGCGTGTCTCTCTCCCTGTGTGTCTCTCTCCCTGTGTGTCTCTCTCCCTGTCTCTCTCTCTCTGTGTCTCTCCCTGTGTGTCTCTCTCCCTGTGTCTCTCTCTGTGTGTCTCTCTCCCTGTGTGTCTCTCTCCCTGTGTGTCTCTCTCTCTGTGTCTCTCTGCCTGTGTGTCTCTCTCTCTGTGTCTCTCCCCCTGTGTGTCTCTCTCCCTGTGTCTCTCTCCCTGTGTGTCTCTCTCCCTGTGTCTCTCTCCCTGTGTGTCTCTCTCCCTGTGTCTCTCTCCCTGTGTGTCTCTCTGGCTGTGTGTCTCCCTCACTGTGTGTCTCTGTCGCAATCTGTGTGTCTATCTCAGCGTGCCTTTCTCAATGCCAATCTCTCTCTGCGTCTCTCTCTGTGCGAGTGTCTCTGTCTATCTATCTGTGTCTATCTCTGTGTCGATATTTGTGTCTGCGTGCGTCTGTTTCTCCGTGTCTCTCTATATATATGGCTCTCTGTATGTCTGCGTAAGTCTATCTCTGTATGTCTGCGTAAGTCTATGTCTCTGTGTTATCTCCGTCTGTGTGTGTCTCTGTGTGTCTCCGTCTGTGTGTGTCTCTGTGTGTCTCCGTCTCTGTAAGTGTCTGTGTGTCTCTGTCTCTATGTGTCTCTGTGTGTCTCTGTCTCTGTGTGTCTCTGTGTGTCTCCGTCTCTGTAAGTGTCTGTGTGTCTCTATCTCTGTGTGTCTCTGTGTGTCTCCGTCTCTGTAAGTGTCTGTGTGTCTGTCTCTGTGTGTCTCCGTCTCCGTGCGTCTCTGTGTGTCTCCGTCTCTGTAAGTGTCTGTGCGTCTCTGTGTGTCTCTGTGTGTCTCCGTCTCCGTGCGTCTCTGTGTGTCTCTGTCTCTGTGTGTCTCCGTCTCTGTGCGTCTCTGTGCGTCTCCGCAGTCCGCAGTGGAGACCCCCGCCCCGCGGCGCGCAGTCCGTCCCCGTCTCCTCGTCACGCCCCTGCCGACGCCGCGGCTGCGGCTGCTGATGCTGCTGCTGCTGCTGATGCTGCTGCTGCTGATGCTGCGGCTGCTGCTGATGCTGCTGCTGATGCTGCTGATGCTGCTGCTGATGCTGCTGCTGCTGATGCTGCTGATGCGGCTGCTGCTGATGATGCTGCTGCTGATGCGGCTGCTGCTGCTGATGCGGCTGATGCTGCTGCTGCTGATGCGGCTGATGCTGCTGATGCGGCTGCTGCTGATGCTGCTGCTGATGATGATGCTGCTGATGATGCTGCTGCTGATGCTGCTGCTGCTGCGGCACTTCGCTGTCCCCCTGCGGCACTCTCCGCCGGAGCGCTTCGCCGCCTCCCAATCGACCCTCTTCGCCCGATCTCGATAGAACAAGAATCCACTCTCAAAAATGAAGAATGATACGTATCCGCGACTCACGGCAGCCGCGCCCGACCCCGGCGTGCGACTGCGCGCGTGGTGGGGGGGGGGGGCGGTGATTTGCCGATCCTGAGCGCGCGTGCGCTATCCGAATGGCACGTTCCGATTTTTGTTTTGCCGCAGTGAAGTGGCGTGCCGCATGGAAGTGTGGCCGTGGAATGATGATGGCGCCGAGCGCTCTGCTCGTCGAAGATTTACGGCCTCCAGAAGAGCCGCCCCGCGCGCCTCCGATGAGCACGGTGGGCTACGTGCGGCGCGAAAGAAGTCAAGCATGCAGCATGAAGCATACAGCATGCAGCACATACAACATGCAGCACATACAGCATGCAGCACATACAACATGCAGCACATACAACATGCAGCACATACAGCATGCAGCACATACAACATGCAGCATGAAGCATACAGGATGCAGCACATACAACATGCAGCACATACAGCATGCAGCACATACAACATGCAGCACATACAGCATGCAGCACATACAACATGCAGCACATACAGCATGCAGCACATACAACATGCAACACATACAACATGCAGCACATACAGCATGCAGCACATACAACATGCAGCACATACAGCATGCAGCACATACAGCATGCAGCACATACAACATGCAGCACATACAGCATGCATCATATAACATGCAGCACATACAGTGAGGGAAAAAAGTATTTGATCCCCTGCTGATTTTGTACGTTTGCCAAGTGACAAAGAAATGATCAGTCTATAATTTTAATGGTAGGTTCATTTGAACAGTGAGAGACAGAATAACAACAACAAAATCCAGAAAACGCATGTCAAAAATGTTATAAATTGATTTGCATTTTAATGAGGGAAATAAGTTAGTTTCGATGTAGTTTCTTTGTTTACCAAAGTTCCTGTGCCTGACACCATTGAAATCATTGAAGATTTGGTCCAACAAGGACTGAATGCTGATATACCGGTCCTGGTTAGACACTGCCTCACTAACACTTACTTCACCTGGAATGGAACATTCTACAAACAAGTTGAAGGTACCCCAATGGGTTCTCCCTTATCTCCAGTTGTAGCCAATGTTTTCATGGAAAAAAATGTTGAGACATGCCATCCTTCTGGAAGAGGTACGTAGATGACACGTTCATCATCTGGCCACATGGCCGACCAGCTCTGAACCAATTCTTCAACCACATCAATTCCATACACCCAGCCATCAAATTCACCATGGAGGTGGAAAAGGTTAGCAAGCTACCATTCTTGGATGTTTTAATCGAAAAGAGACCAGATGGCTCAATAGGACACTCGGTCTACAGGAAAGCCACCCATACGGATGCATATTTAAAACCTGACTCCCACCACCATCCTTCCCAGAAGAATTCCCTCATCAAAACTCTACACCATAGAGCTCGATGTATTTCCGACCATCATCACCTAGCCAATGAACTGGAACACGTACACCAAGCTCTCAAGATGAATGGATATTCAAACTACAAAATCTGTAAATCTATAACCCCAACCGTTGGGAAAGAACCATCTGAGGACCAAATCAAAACCATCACCTTGCCATACATAGCAGGGGTCACCAAAATGTTTTCAAAATCATGAGCAAACACAGATCCAGGTTCGATTTAACACAGTACATACATTTCGTGATCTGATCCCATCTGTGAAGGATGTTATCCCTGACATGCAATACCACGGTGTCTACAAACGAAGCTATGTCTGCGGCAGTAGTTATATTGGCGAGGACCAATACCTCGGCCGTGGCTGATCATTGTGTAGTGTGATGTACGGAGGCATACACACTAGAGTTGGAGGCAACACGTGTATTTACACTTCCCAAGAGGGAACTCTAACGTACATTGGTTCACTGTCTAGGTGATGACTACATGGTGAACTATGTGAGTAGCGAGTTAACTCTACTAGCGGGTCAGTCAGCCTCTACGCTGCCTGAGCCGCGATGCCGAGCGAAGACCGCAGACCCGGAGACGACGGGACGCAGGACCCAGCGTTGATCCCACAGACGAGCACCGATCCCTGTTGGGGCTTCCCCTTTATCCCCCCGGCCGCGGCCTCGCCCCGCCCTCGGCCACGCCCCCTTCTGTATCATGTCAGGAGCTCTCGGCTCCCAGTCATGTGTCCCTCGAGCCTCATAGGGAGGTTCCAGGCGCCCAGCAGCACTCCTGTGATAGTGGCTGGCTCTAACACTATAGTGACAGCATTACCGTCACAACAATTGTTTTAATGCGGTGGGTTCACACGAAATTGATTTTTCTAAGACGAAGGTACTTTGCAAGCCCACTGGCTATCAACAAAGATTTGTTCATTAAGCCATCCATATATACAGACACAGACACAATTTCAACTGAGATGGGTACAAACTGAGCAATCATTGGAAGGACGTTATTAACCAGTTTAAGTCATAACCAGTTTAATTCATAACTGGCTGTGAAGTTCCCATCCTACCACCTTACGATATTAGTTGTTATTTTCGGCTCTGATTTTACATTGACAGGTAAAATTTCTCACACTAACATGGCCACCTCCTGCGCCAACCTCGAGGTTGCTGCTCTGCGATCTTCCGTTAACATGCTCATCTCTCACATTAACATGTCAATATCTCCCATTAACCTGCTAATATCTCACATTAACATGCTAATCTCTCACATTAACATGCTAATCTCTCACATTAACACGCTAATCTCTCACATCAATATGCTAATCTCTCACATTAACACGCTAATCTCTCACATTAACATGCTAATCTCTCACATCAACACAGCCACCTCAGCGCGCTCGCCGTGGAGACCGCTCAACGATCTTATATTAACATGCTAATTTTTACCTGGCAGCCCTTTGATTGGTGGAAACCCCACCACCATTTTACATTAACTGCTGCCCACCATTTTACATTAACCTTGGCTGCTGACATTTGGGCTACGCCCATTTCAAACCTTTATAAACAGTTTGCCTTTAGACGCTAACCCCCTTTTCCTGATAACGACCGTTTGTGTTGCGATCAAAACATCGTTGTTTTTTGTTATTTTCTTTGAACCTATCTACATTACTTTACCGAAATACGTGACAAACCTTACTAATTGGCTATGTCGGGTGGTGGCGGGTTGAATGACACATTTATATTTGCATGATCTAACCCCCAAAAAACCTGTATTATGGATGATATTGGTCGCGAAAGCCTCCTACTACTACTACGTGTTAAACATTCCCATATTATTCTTTGTTGATCCACTGCCGGATGAACAGTTCATTCCCCGTGCAGGCGCCGTTCCTCACGTCCCTGCGGCATACTCACGTCCCTGGGACTATACCTCCACACGCTGGTCAATGTCGCAAACCATCACGCGTAGCAGCATCCAGTGCAGTGCAACTCTTCCATCTTTGCTCACGATGGCAGCGGCAAATGCGTCCGTGAGCTCAATGCCAATGACATGTATGGATGCTGAACTTCTGTCGCACCGTACGTAGCCAACCGCGCGAATCAAGAGGTCAGAGCACTGAGATCCTGGGTTTGAATCACGGCTTTGTAGCTGCCTCTGATTAAAC